GGAATCATTGAGAACTGAATCTACCCTTTTCCTGAAGCTTTGCAAACTTAAGCTGGAGGACTTGATATAAACTTAATAGAGATTCATGTCTGTTGCTATGTAAGCCACTCAGAAATGTACCTGAATACCCAAAGACATCATCAGAGAGACATTTCAAACTGCAAAAGTAGCTTTGACTCTGACATCTAGAAATCTTTTGGACTGGCTGCATCCTGTCCTCAGAAACTGGTTTATAATTTGCTCCCACCATTAACTTTGTTTTTGTGTGTGTCATATTGGATACCTGGTTACTTTCTTACACAATATAGGCCTAACTTTGGAAGCCCACCTGCATCACCATCTTAATAAAAGACTGGTTCAATGAGATGGAACAACAGGATATCCCTCGAGATTGAGGGATTGAACAACAAAAGGGGGGAATTGATACCGGCTCAACAACAGGTTGACATGAGGAAAGCCGTATTGTAGAAAAGAAACCCTATTTTAACTTTGAGTGATTTCTGATTAATGAACCCAGAAGTGCTCTGCAGATTTTATGGCCCCTCCCAGCTGCAATGAGTTGATAACGTAGTTTTCTTGAGTTCCTTAAGAGTGTGATGACCCCTAGGCAGAAACTCTAGGCCGATAGCCATCAACAATGACAACTAAAAGATCAGGGTATAGGGTGTTACTCTGGTCTCTGATGTTTATCCAGTAAAACAAAAGACTATCAGAAACTAAGAACAAATGGGTGCCCCCACCCTGAGACTAGATATCTGCCTCGCCCCAGAGATCAGATGGATGCCCCAGCCTGAGACCAGATGCATCCGCCACCTGGAGAGCAGCCTCATATATAACTGTCCTATAGTCTTTGTTCTGTAAGATGGTTCTTTCAGACATGAGTCGCCATCTTCCCTCTTGCTAGTAAGCTGTAATTAAAGGTCCTTTGTCTCCTACCTTCTTGCATATTGAATATTGGCATGTCTTGTGGTGGGCAGAGGAATGGCCCTTTGGACGGAAAGACTGCTGGGTCTAGAAGAGAAATGAAATTCCCCACCCAAGAGTTAGTCTCAGAAGGCACACAGTTTCAATGATATTCTGCCCCCTACTTCCCCAACTCGCTCCTCTCCATCCACCCCTGCCCATTGCCCGGGGTCCAGATCCCAGTGCCTCAGGGAAGGAGCATGTGGGGTTGTGGTTCCACAGAGAGGCCTTGGGGAGGGATCAGATCCCACTTTCCCTACTCAAAAACATCCAGGCACCCATACCTGACTCTAGCTGCAATTCCTCTGGAAAGAGAAAAAGAAGTAGTCACTCACCAGGAGTTAGTCTCCCCTACACACACACACTCACACACACACACACACACACCAGTCCAGTCCTCAAAGGAGATAGGTGGCTTTCTCTGTGGCCAGGGGCCCTTGTCGTGGCCAAAGGCAGGGGAGATGGGGAGGCAGTGTAGGAGCCTGGCTGGGGAAGGTCTGCCTGGGATCTCTGGGGCTGAGCCCCTTGCATGGTTTTATCAGCCTCCAAAGGGGATCAGGGCTCAGTGAGCCTGAGATCAAGACAGAGAGCCTGCCCAGCTCTGGGACTCACCTTCTGGAAAGGTGTTCTGCTTGTCGTCATCTAAGATGAGAAGAACATCTGGATAGGAAGAAGCCAGGTCATGAGAGAGGTCATTTCCGCTGGAGTTGTTCACAGCCCACACTGCAGCCACCCAGGCTCCCTCCAGGCCAAGTGTGGTCAATTGTCTCAGGGTGGCCTTGCATTAGAATCAGCAGGGATGCTTGTAAAACTCAGAATCCCTAACCTCACTCTGTCTCCTGAATCTGACTCTCTGAAGAGGATCCTTAAATAAGGGCCTCAGTGACCATTATGCAGAGAACTGCCTGTAAGGTGACAGAAATCATTCCTCCCTCCATCTTCATGAAGGATTGAGAGACAGAAAGAGAGAGAGAGAGAGAGTGTGTGTGTGTGTGTGTGTGTGTGTGTGTGTGTGTGTGTCTGGTGAGGGCATCTCCTCATCTCCAAGGAGCTGGACCCCCCTGTATTGGGCTGACCTCTAGCTGGGACTTAAATTTGGGAGAGGAGAGGCCAGGGTCTGTGAGATGGTGGTGTTCTCAGTGATTGCCATTCTGCCCGCTTATGCAGTTGCTGTTTGATGCAAATGGTTTGCCCTTGTGGAGTCAGAACCCTCAGCATGTGCGTTGGGACACTGTTCATTTTGAGGCCAGTGAGGGAGGGAAAGACGTAGGTAAAGTCTTGCATTATGTTGTTAGAACATTATGCCTGCAGTTCTGTTTGTGACTGTGGTGGTATCTTAGGGGCTTTAACTCAGGGTTCTGGGTAACCTGGAGAGGGCTCGGTGGCTCCCCCAGGTGAGCTGCTGAGAGTGGCAGGACCTTGAAAGAATATAAATGGTCAGGATTAGGGCCATACTTTGCCCAGTGCTAAGGACACCTCCTCCTTGGGCACCCTTTTGTCCCTCTCCATGTAGGAGACTCTCTGTATCTCCTGTAGCAACATCTCAATCAAGCCATTCTAGGAGGTGGCTGTGGGTGCTGTGGCGTATGTGTTCCCCAGACAGCTGAAAGATGATGTTCCTCCTCTCTCTCAATAAGTGGAGAAGCCAAGGTTGCCTGATGATGGTCTTTCCCCTCCCGTTTCTCTTCTCGGGAGAAGCAGACTCCCTCTCCCCATCTCCTTATTCAGCCTCTGCTTACCCCAGCCATTCTTCTGGAAAATCAACTGCTTCCTCTTATAGGCCATTACCATGCCCTTCTGCAGGGGCAGCTTCTTCTCTCTCACTCTGAGACGCTCTCCCTGTCCTTCACCCTGGGGAGAGAAACCAGGTAACATGGTCATATATGCATGTGATTTTAAAACTCAGGTAGATCTGGAAAGCTCATGAGAAAAGAACACAGCTGTTCTCTGATCTCACCCCTTTTAATACTTATTTCCAGTTACTGCTCTTTTTTCCTTCTTTTGTCCAGTATTTACCTTCACATTTCTCAATTTCATGTTTATTTTGCAATGATTTGGGGGGTTTTTTTTACCAGAATTAAGTATATCTATGTACTTTCTCCTGTTGATGATGAGAATTTTGTTTTCCTAGTCTTTCCGGACCCCTCACCCCTCATTTCTCCTTCCCCCGTCTTCCTAAAATGTTCATATCCCAATGTCTGTCTAAGTTAATATTCAATGTTTACTGTTGGGGAGACTGCTTCTCCTCACTCCAGATCTTTCCTTTATCGGTTAACTAAAGTGATACTCATGTCCCCTCTCTGCCTCTTAGTCATTCTCTCCAAGCATGTAAAGGATATATTTTTTAAAATCTTACATATCTGAAGACGTTTTTATTTTATTCCCAACTTTATTGACATTTGACTGGACATAGAATTCTAAGCTGGAATTCCTTTGAATGTGACTTTTTAAATTAATATTCTCCTGTCTTTTGCTTACTTTTTTTGGAAATTTTCTGGATTTTATTTTCTGACTTTTCTATTTCTAAAGTTTTTTGACTTCTAGTGTCTAGTCCAACATGTAAGGAGCTTGGAAGTTGTCATTCCATCCTAACAACAAGTAAAAAGCTGAATAAACTGAAAAACCAACAACTCTTCTTAGATCTTTCAGAGAAATGAGGTGACAGAGCAAAACAGTGCCCCCAAGAATTGGAGAGACAGAAATGCAGATATAGAGAATCACAGTTTACAAGAGCAGAAACCGCTAGCAGAAACCTCCACAGGAGCCAGTACTGGGGTAGGAAAACATGAACTGTAGTTAACAAATTGCTGGAGGCTCAGTGTGGACAGGTTTGGGACTTAAAAACTCTGGTGGACCCAGTGATCAGAGGGGCCTCACACTTTTGTGAGTTTTATCTCCAAGAGCTCTACCAGGTTCTCACAGGGACTATCAGAGAAAAATCCCCTCATGCTTCAGGCAGTGGGAAGGGAAAAGTAACCATTTTGAAATATCTCAGAGCATTTTGTTCTCCTTAAAATGGCAAGCCTCAAGAGAAACTATTTTGCTAGAGCCTAACCTATTGGGGTTTTACAAGAGCCAAACCAACCTGATGGAAGAGAAATACCCAACTCCAGCCTCTTCTAGCCTTTCATGTGGGGAAAGGGAATTATCAAACTCTAGCTCCCCCTAACTATCTACCCCACCTAAGGTGGGCTGGAGAGGCCTGAGAATCTCTTGTAAAGTTCACAGCTCAAGGTCACAGTCTAACTAAAACACTGAGACCTAATCATGGGACAATAGAATGCTACCCTCCCCTTACAGCTTACCATAACACCACTAAAAGCCTATTTACCAGAGTTCCATCTACTCGGAGTATTATGTTCAACTTTCAACAAAAAATTACAAGGCATACCCAAAGCCAAAAAACAACAGTTTGAAGAGATAGAGCAAGCATGAGAATCAGACTCAAATATAACATGGATGTTGGAATTATTAGACAGGGAATTTTAAACTACTATGATTAATGTGATAAGTGATCTAATGGAAAACATAGAAAAAAATGCAAGAACAGAACAGTTAAGCAGAGAGATGAACATTCTAAGAAAGAATCAAAAAGAAATGCGAGAGAGATCAAAAGCACTATAACAGAAATAAAGAATGCCTTTGAAATAAAAAGGATCCAAATTGGAAAGGAAGAAGTGAAACTGTCACTATTTGCAGATGATGATTTTATATATAGAAAACTCTAAAGAATCCACCAAAAAACGTTTAGGAATTATAAAAGAATATGGTAAAGTTGCAGGCTACAAAATCAACATACAAAAATCAGTTTCATTTCTATACACTAACAATGATGCAACACAAAGAGAAATTAAGAATACAATCCCATTTATAATTGCAACAAAAAGAATAAAATACCTAGGAATAAACTTAACCAAAGAGGTGAAAGATCTGTACA